TGGAGTCCATTCTGACCCACGGCGCTCCTAGAGGACAGAGTGGAACTGCCCACAGGGTCTCCACAGCTGTGATCCTAATGGAAGCCTACTGCCATGTTTTTCTCCCATGGAGTGGTTGATGGTTTAAACCACCGACTTTTGGTTAGCAGCTGTGAGCTTAACCGCTGCACCACCAGGGCTCCTTTGCTACGTCTGTTCATAACTCCTACACACATGCTTATTGTGTTGGTTCAGTAAAGACGCAGCTTTTTCTGGTCTAGTCCCTAAAGCATCCAGGTCTTGCTTCCTTTTGAGTCCCTGCTGGCGCTGGCATTATGCTGGGAAGAGGAACGTGGGCATCCTCTCTGCCCAGGAGAAGTGCCTGTGCGTGCGTTAGAAGGGGGCAGGCGCGGTCTCTTACTTCTGTCACAAGCGCCACACAAACATGCTCTGAGGTCACTGAGTGTGTTTTACAGACCTTGCCATCTAAGAGCTGTCTGTCGGATGGTCCCAGGAGTCCAGGGCCCCGACAAGGGCCTTCTCACCTGCTCCAGGGTTTGGGGGTTGATCAGTATTTGCATACAGACCACACGGGACTCTGGCCCTCAGGTAGATCTGTATGACTTTTAAATTTTCACTTGATGTCTTTGCTTTCTCAGGCCTGCAGGGACCCTCAAACTCAGCAGGTGGCCCACTTAGTGTTGGCACTTTTCCGAGAGGTCACTGTTCTGTACAGATCCTGTAACGCGAGCCTCTACCCTAAGCCTGAGGTGAGTGTCCATGCTCAGGGCCGTGTTCATGGTCTCATTATCTTGAGGGGCTTTTTTAGATAGAAGTAAAAGACACAAATAAACCTTTGCCCATCACCTCGTATCTCGGATGTGGGGTTTCCAACCACGGGGGTAGAGGAACCACTTTCTGCTAAAGCAAAGCTTCACAACTAAAGTCGAGGACATGCAGTGAGGTTCAGCACAGCAGGGTATCAAAATCAGTGTGTGTGTACCTGGTTGCTGTGTTTCTGTCTGAAAATCTCTTCTCCAGACATGGTCCCCTGATAAATAGGTGACAATTTAATTGTATTTACCTTGAAATGTAATGTTTATTTGTTATCAGAATGTATGGTCAAACCAAACTCACTGCTGTTGAGTCGGATCTGACTCATAGCTACCCCTCCTTGGGTTTCCGAGGCAGTATCAGTATGGAAGTAGATTGCCCAACGTTAATTCTGAGGAGTGGCTAGTGGGTTTGAACCACCAGCCTTCTAGTTAGCAGTTATTCTGATTCCCTAATGCCACTGTGACAGGAATATACGACAAATGGAATGGCTGAACAAATAGAAGTTTATTCTTTTACAGTGTGGAGGCATTAAGTCCGAGTTCAAAGTGCCAGGCTCTAGGGGCCGGGTGAAAGCCCCTCGACCTTGAGCTTCAGCTCTGCCTCTTGCTCCCGGCCCACTGAAGCTAGAGGCATCTCTTCACTCAGACAGCTACTGGCTGCTGAGGCTGACAAGCCCAAGGTTGACAAATAAAATGGCACAGTCCTGATGTTACCAAACCACAGGGCAGGCCATTAATTCAAGTCTATTGAACGTCCCAAAGTCAGCAGAGCATGGTAGGCTGCTGAACAACGACACAGCTACATGCAGGATCCAAGCGTTGTCATAAGCTAGAGACCATTCCCGAAGCTGCTGCTCATATCCGGGAAGCAGACCACATCCCTAAAGCAGCTACTCAGCTGCTTGTGGTAGATCCCACCATGGAGTTGATTGCCATTCTTGTCATGGGGAATAACTACCACCAGCTGCCCAACCACTCAAACCAGGCCCAGCCAAGTTGACACACAACCTTAACTACTACAGCAATCAAATGCCTGAGGCACTGTGCCACCAGAGCGGCTAGCTGTGCGCAGACCCTTGAATTCTCATCGCTGTGTTCTTTGAGATATTTTAACATGAAGCGTTTGTCTTGTCAGCAATGCGAGGCTGTCAACAGATTCATTGAAGAAACCCAGATCCTTTCTCCTGAAATCAGACATTTTGCGACATCCCTTGTGGCCAACACTCTGCCGTTGCTGACGACAGGGCCCAGTGATAGGGTCCTTGATGCAGCAGTGACGGAGATGGCTGTCCATGCTGCCACCATCCTCCTCTGTGGGCAGAACAAAGTCTTGGAACCCCTGAGGAACTTGGCCTTCTCCCCAGCCAACATGGCGGTAAGACCCGAGGGGGGGAGCTGCGTCTGCCTGCACGGTGGAGGGTTCAGTGGTCTGCCACTTGCGATTCTGTCTGTCGCTTGGAGCTGCCCAGGCCTCTGTCTTCTGGAGTCTTATCTGCTCTGTCGGCCCACGGTGAAGAGCTATTACATCTCCTCTGTGGACAGTTTTCAAGGGCTGGAGGACAGAAAACCCAAATCCACTGTCTCCTGCTAGGCCGTTTGCTGAACATCAGCCAGTCTGTCTTAGAGCAATCAGGCTCTGCTTGTTTTCCCCCAGAATGCTTTTCTGCCGACCATGCCTGAAGACTTGCTGGTTCAAGCGAGGGGCTGGAGTGGTCTGCAAGGAGTCCGCTGGTACAGTAAGTGTTGGTGTCTGGCCAGAATCCTCTTCCCCTCTCAGCTCTGAGCAGCGGTGTCGTGCCGTGAGACACTGCTGTAGACCTGGGGTCCGCGTGGTTTATGCCTGAAAGTCCAACAGTACCTGCCTCGGGCCCTTTGCAGAACATGGATGGCTTGAGGGACTGGCACCCTGCTGCTGGAGGGAAGCCCTCAGGACATCACTGTTCCCTGGAATATACCCAGCAGCCTCTGGCTGGGAGCCACATGGAGGCGCTTTCAGGAGTCTGAGCACAACCACCAGCTTTTGACCCAGACACGCTCCTCTGGACCAGGGAGCTGGAAGGCAGGACAACAGGGCGCGTGACTTCACTGTGATGATGCCCTTACCTTTTACCTCTCGAGAGAATCTTGTTTAAGCAGGTTTAAAAGCTGTTTAAAAAAAGCTCGTGAGGAAAGGGCAGAACTCAGAGAGAAGGGGAAGCGGGAGTGCTGGCTTCCCCAGAGCCCCGCCTGGTGCGCCTCTGCTCTCGCTTTGCTCCAGAAAGCTAACCGCAGAGGCTCTTGTCTCCAGCACCAGCGCTGACTCAGCTCCTGGGCTGGGTCAAGTAGCCAGTGACCGAGCTGGCAGAGGAGTGTAGGTTCCCGGTGGTGCGCTCCCAGCACTCACCCTCCATCATGTTTCACTTCCTTCTGAAACATCGTCACGCGATGAGTGCTCCCCACTAACGGTGCCCTGTTGTTCTTCTGACAGCCTGTCCCAACGGCCACCCGTGCTCTGTAGGAGAGGTGAGTCTGAATGTCTGGGGTTCCTCTGAGTCTGGGGAGAGGAGGCAACAGTGAGGGCCCAGACCTTCTGGAAGAACATAGCTGCTTTCTGAGGGCCGTCCAGGTGTCCATCCAAGCAGCTGCATGGTGCTGAGGTGTTGGCACAAGGAGGGTTTGAGGAGCCAGCTGGCCACCCCGGGTTTCTCAGTCAGCCCAACGGGCATTTGAACCCGATAATTCTGTTTGTATAAACGCTTGATTCTGTCCTGTGTCTGGGACTGTGAGCACCCTGCCCTTGACTAAGATCAACACCAGTAGCACCCTGCCCCCCTCGTCACGAGGAATAACTACCACCAGCTGCCCATGCACCCAACCAGGCCCAGCCAAGTTCACATACAAATTTAACCACCACAGTGGTGAAGTGTGTTCTCTGTGGTCATGGGTTGGTGTGTTCAGTGGTGCTGAAGTGTGTTCACTGCAGTGGTGGTGGGTTTGTGTGTTCGGTGCCGAAGTGCATGTTCTCTGCGGTGATAGGGTTGTGTGTTCACTGGTGAAGTGTGTTCACTTCCAAAGTGCATGTTCTCTGCAGTGATGGGTTTGTGTGTTCGGTGGTGAAGTGTGTCCACTGTGGTGGGTGGGTGTGTTCGGTGCTAAAGCATGTTCACTGTGGTGGTGAGTTTGTGTGTTTGGTGGTGAAGTGTGTTCACTGTGCTGGGTTTGTGTGTTTGGTGGTAAAGTGTGTCCACTGTGGTGGGTGGGTGTGTTCGGTGTTAAAGTACGTTCACTGTGGTGGTGAGTTTGTGTGTTTGGTGGTGAAGTGTGTTTACTGTGCTGGGTTTGTGTGTTTGGTGGTGAAGTGTGTCCACTGTGGTGGGTGGGTGTGTTCGGTGCTGAAGCACGTTCACTGTGGTGGTGGGTTTGTGTGTTCAGTGCTGAAGTGTGTCCACTGTGGTGGGTGGGTGTGTTTGGTGCTAAAGCATGTTCACTGTGGTGGTGGGTTTGTGTGTTCAGTGCTGAAGTGTGTCCACTGTGGTGGGTTTGTGTGTTCACTGCTGATGTGTGTTCACTGTGGTGGTGGGTTTGTGTGTTTGGTGGTGCTGACATGTGTCTCCCGCGCTGGTGGTGGAGTTGTGTGTTCAGCAGTGCTGGCTGCACACCTGAGCTGAGTCACCTTTGTTCCCACCCCAGTGCGGCATGCCAATGGAACAGAGCTACTGTGTTGACTGTGGTCTTCGCATCGGCGGCACCGATCACCGGCCCCGTGAAGGCTTCCACCCTATCACGTAAGATTGCCTTTTCTCTTTGAGTTGTCAGCCATGGTCTTCTGGACAGTTCCTCTTCCTACTGATAAACTGATAGTAAATATGACAGCACGGCACATGTGGACCATGTCATGTTGATCGTACAGCAGTGCACTGTTGGATCTCTTGTGCTCACTTAACCTGAAGCCAACTCTACTACTTCAGTGCCTTCCATCTGGGTCTTGGGCATGCCCCCTGTGGAAACATGCATGACAGGAACAGGCCACTTAATTCAGGGGAACACCCACGTTTGGAAGACCGAAAGCTGGACATTTGCCTGTCTGAGCTGAAGCCGTCTCACTTTGAAACTGCCTTAGCTTTCTTCTATGTCGGGGAAAGTGAAGGAGACATAGCCTTAATGAAATACGGCTTCAAAATCCAGATGAAAATGTCATCTCATGATCACGCTTCCTAGTGGGAGGGGCCCTGAAGATTAGAGGTGGGGTCTGTCTGGGCTTCACACACTGGCTATCGTGATGCCCTCACAGTTTGAAATATCCTAGCTCATTCTCTCCAGAAACTACAGAACACCTAAGATACTTTGATAGCTTTGCAATTGAACATACCCGTCACACTGTATCTCCCATCTGCCTAGGACAGGGGTGGTCTGGGATGTCTGTTTGCACATGTCCCCATGCTGACGTCTGCCATCCCAGGCCTGAGGCTCCCTTAGGTCGCTCCCCTTCCCACAAGGACCCCGTGGAAGGAGCAGCTCCAGGGCCCCATGCTGCCACTGCCCAGGGGTCAGCACAAACGGCCACACGGCTGAGCCACTTTGCACTCTCAGTGCTGTGGGCTTGGGATCAGTCAGAAACAGAGAGCGTCTGTAAGGAGATGGCGCTCGCGGAAGTGGGCCACGTGGGACAGAGCGAGGAATGGTCTGGCACAGCTTTCTTCACAACCAGACGTGGTCTCCACATCCTAAGCAGCTGAGGTACCCCACACTCACACTGAGGAGAGGTGGTCCTCATCAGTTGTCACCCTGTCTTCCTTTTCAGAAACGACGTGGACAGAACTCAGACTGGCCATGTGCTGGGAGACCCTGCGGCCAGAGATGGAATGGCGGTGTCTGACCGAGCTCTCTCCCCTGCAGTCTTCATCCTCATCCGGTTCCTCACTCACTTGACTATGCTCTTGGGAGCTGCTCAAAGCCCCCAGGTGAAGCACGACACCACAGTTATCTGTTTACACACCACAGTCGTGACCAGCTCTAGTGCTCTCATGGTCCTTTTGTCTACAATGTCCTTGCTGCACTCTGTGGAGTTTTGTTACCTAATCCAAAAAGAAGGAGCCCTGGTGGGGCAACTATTAAGCACTTGGCTGCTAACCAAAAGGTTGGCGATTCAAACCCACTTAGCAGCTCCTCAGAGGAAAGCTCTATTGACTGCGCTCATAGAACTTGCAGCCTGGAGAACATTGTGGCAGTTCTAGTCTGTCACCTGGGGTCACTGTGAGTTGGAATCAACTCGATGGCACCTAGTAACACAACGAGAGTCCGCAGTGACATAAAACGAACCATCCTCAGTTTTACCAACGGGGGGGGGAGGTATGAAGATGGGGGAATGACTCATCAGATGACACGGGTCTGTCGTAAGTCAACAACCCTGTGCCGTAGGGCCACCCCTGGGAGGAGAGGCTGCATAACCATGGCCATCCCTGTGTCTGCTGGCAGCCCTAGAGGAGAGAGATGTTGTGTTTCCTCTGGGTTGGCACTAACCAGGCCAGTGCAGGGTGTGGGCTTGAGGATTCTCACTTCACGGTGGCTAAGGAAGCCCATTGTGTCCACACGGCATGGTTGGGCCCCTCATGCCTGCCTTTGGTTGTGTCCACGTTGCATGGTTGGCCTCGCTCTTGTGCCTGCCTTTGGTCGTGTCCTTGTATGGTTTGGGCCCACTCCCGTGCCTGCAATTTGTCCCGCCCACGTTGCATGGTTGGCCCTTTGCCTGTGCTGTGGGACCACTCCACTCCCCCGTGAGCTTCTCTGAGAACCATCCCAGGGGTTGGTCCTGAGGGTATACATCCCGTCTCATTGACAGACAGGATCTTCTTTGCCATGTGTCTCGTTGCTCCACAGGCTCTGACAAACATCATCAAGCCTCCAGTGCAGGATCCACAAAGATTCCTCCAGCAGCACATCCACCGAGACCTGGAGCTGCTGACCAAGACCCTGGGCAGGAGTGCTGACGAGACCACCACCGTGGTGCACCTGACCCTGCGCGGCCTCCTCAGAGGCCCTGCTTCCCGCTCTGGCCAGAGTAAGCAAGTGGGGCGAAGGGGCGTGGGGCAGGGGGTCGCAGTGCACAACTGCACAGAGGCCAGCTCGGGGCCTCCAGGCTGAAATGAAGGGAGGCCGTGTGGGAGGTGCCGCACCAGGCGGAAGTGGGAAGAGCCTCCCTTGCCAGAGGACACAGGCAGCTCCTTTGCGTCCGTTTTCCTGTGTGTCTGGCTGAGCCCTGCAGCCTTCAGAAGGTTTGCACAGTTCAGTGTGGGGGCATTTTCAGCTTCGAAAGGCAGCTCACGGGCAATTCACCTCCTGCGTTGGGAACTTCAGGGCTCAGTGGTAGAGTTCTTGCAGGGTACCCAGGTCTGATTCCCAGCAAATGCAGCTCACACACCATCACTGTCCACCCTCCGGAGGCCTCACGCACCGTCCCCACCCCTCTCCCTGGAGGCCTGCGTGATGATGTGGTGCTGACTGGGTTTCAGCAGAGATTCCCGACCGCGACAGACTAGGAAAACCCTACGGATCACGATGATCCAGTCCCGTTGTGCATGGGGACCATGAATTGGGGCTGACTCACTGGCCGCTGACAATGACACTGGGAACATGTAGCATCCAAAACAGGGACTTGTGTCAGAGTCATCACCCTCAAGGACATAAATGTATGACAGTCCCGTGGGACCTTGTACGTCTGTCCTGCGTTGAGAGTAGCCACTCCTTTACGTACAAAATATGTTTGCTGAGCTAACGGTTTTAAGAATTAAAGTCCACACAGAAAGAAAAGGCCTCCAGGACAGCTTAGTGAAAGGATTATTTCTTGGCAGTGAATTGAGAAGCATTTTCTTTTTGCCCACTTCCCAGTTTCTTTCCGAAGTACCACTGTGATGACAATGTTCTTTGAAGCAGTAACAGTACTAGTAGCAACATCCTGCCACGTGACAGGAATAGCATTCCTGCGTCAGCTGCTGCTTGCCCAGCACCAGTGCCCCTCTGTGGGTCCCACTGAGCAAAGGCCGAGGGTATTTTTAGCCTTCCACCTGGGTGACCTTCAGCTAGGGGAGCTGACCCACTGTCATGCTGACCGAGTCCTTGAAGCATGCCAGCAATGACTGCCGCTCTCTGCAGCCACACGGGCATCACGGGCCACTCGTCGGTCTGCCCGCTCAGGCGTCGGCAGCCATGATGGGCTGCTGGGGCACGGACTTCCTTTGTGTGCTGGGCTTCCAGTTTCAGTTGCCATCCTTCTGGTCATTTTGTCCAGAATGGCTTTCAGGTTACAGTTAGGAGGGCTGGGGAGGTGTTAGAGCGCGGATATCCTCACAGACATCATAGGCTGGTGCTGGAGCAGGAGCCACGTGAAGTGCTGAGGCTGACGTGGGAAACTGCCCAGCCCGCCGAAGGGCAGCATTCTGTTTCTGTCACACTTGCTTAGTGTTCCCTGGGGTCACCCACATGAGTTGTTTTCTTTGTAGGGCTTTTAAATTTTGATGCAAGATGGTCAACCAAGGAGATGAGAAACAACTGGGAAAAAGTTGTCCAAATGATCATTTTATCTGAACTGGAGGTAAGTGGCGGCTGCTGTGCTCAGGGAAGGGGCATGCTGTCCCGGGTCCCCACTGTGCCTCGTGGACCTGCGGTCCGGAGCCTTTGCTGTGGGTGTTCTCTGTGTGGACTCCCATCACCCTCCTGGGGCACCAAGGCCTCCTCCCGCCTGAGGTGGTGGTTCCCTGCCAGTGCTTTTTACAGCACAAGGGTGAAGAAAGGGGTGATTGTTGGAAACCTACCACAGAGGCGTCTGTTGTCGTTGTTGTTTTGTCTTGCCATCAAGTCAGAGCCAACTCACAGCAAGCCCTCCTTGGGTTTCCGAGGTGGTATCATTATGGAAGTAGATTGCCCAACCTTCCTTCTGAGGAGTGGCTGGTGGGTTTGAACCGCCAGCCTTCTGGTTAGCAGTCAGATGCCTTAGGCACTGTGCTACCAGAGCTCCTACAAATGGCGTTAGTAATTAGAAATTCACTACTCCTTTGTTACATATGAATATTACTGAAAGTAACTAAAAACCAAAAAACCCATGACTGTCGAGTCAATTCTGACCCACAGCACCCCTAGAGGACAGAGTGGAACTGCACCACAGGGTTTCCAAGGCTGTCAATCTTTACAGAAGCTGATTGCGTCATTTTTCTCCCATGGAGTGGCTGGTGGATTGGAACTGCTGACCTTTTGGTTAGCAGCCCAGTGCTTTGACCACCACCACCAGAGCTCCTGAGACTAACAAAAGCCTATCAGCAAATAGAAGTCGGTAGTAATTAAAGGATGGGAATAAAATAAAGGTCTCTGAGTTTCTTTCTATGTGTTGTTGTTGTTGTTATGTGCTGTGGAGTCAGACCCGACTCATACTGACCCCTCCTTGGGTTTCCAAGGCAGTATCACTATGGAAGTAGATTGCCCAATCTTCCTTCTGAGGAGTGGCTGGTGGGTTTGAACCGCCAGCCTTCTGGTTAGTAGTCAAATGCCTTACGTACTACGCTACCAGAGCTCCCCTCTTTCTGTGTGGGAGGACATAAACCTACAAAGAAGGAACACGTGAATTACAGTAAGAGACAGGAAAAGTGAATGACTGAGCGCTATACTGCGTAGGGCAGACTCCCCAGTAAGCCTGTAGTGGCAGTAGGTGGTGGCCTAGTCTGTTCGTGGTGGTTTTCTCACTTCCTGAATTCTGTATCGTGTCCCCCTCTAGCATCTAGATAAAACTCTCCTGACCGTCAGTACTCTGATGAGCCAAGATGAACGTATAAGCTCCAACCCTGTGGCCAGAATCGTCTACGGTGACCCGGCAAGCTTCCTGTGCCACCTGCCACAGAAGAGTGTGGTCCACTGCTCTCGGATCTGGAGCTGCAGGCGCAGAGTGACAATCGAGTACCTCCAGCACATCGTGGAGCAGAAAAACGGCAGGGAGACGCTGCCCATCCTCTGGCAGTTCCTGCAGAAGGTGAGTCTTGCTCTGCATGTGAGTCTCCGTTTCCACGGGCTCCCTGGGAGACTTCAAGGCCCCAGGCCTGGAAGCGTGTCATTCCTAGAGAGAGCAGCACACCTGACAGCCCTCCTTGGGGCTGGGAAACGACCGCCTGTAGTGATGACTCAGAGAGAGTCGGAATCTTCCTGCCCGTCCAACCATCCAGTGGCTTCGAAGCCTGAAGTCACAGGTGACGAGCTGTAGTCAGTAACGGCCTGGGATGGAAGCCAGCACCCAGCAGCCACAGCCGTGGACTCAGCGGCGACCGGGAAGATGGCACAGGACTAGATGGCATTTCCTTCTGCTGTTCATAGTGAGGGCAGTGCCAGCTCACAGCAGAAACCACCACAATGTGAAGAACCTGAGGGCCAGTCACCCAGCAAGAAACAAGGGCATGAGAATCTCGCAGAACGGGTGTGTGCATCCTGCCCTCACCCCCACAGTGCATGGGGTGCTTGGTCATCAACTAGAGTCTGTTGGAGGAAGAGAATTGAGTCAACCAAGAAGCAAACAAAACATCTGCCCTTTTCCAAAACCATCGAGGCTCAGGCTGAAGACAGGATGAGCGTGTGTGTGTCGGCAGTGGTAGGCTTGGAGGTAGAGGGCGGAAAGTGCAAAGCCAGAAGGAAGGTCCTGTCTATCGGAAGCAGAAATACGTGGTTTCCAACCTTAATCCGTTTCATCCATTTTCCACAACGTACTCCTTAGTCATTTCTGTCCATGGACTAGTGTTTGTAGTCTAGCAAGAATTAAGGTAATCCAGGAATTTCTGGTCAATGGAAGAAACTTAACTCACACCAGGGAGGGCTTCATGCTCGTACAGTACTTTGCCGCTAATGTGCAGTTCTGGGTTGAAAATACTTAGGTCTGAGGTCTTCCAAATGACATCGCGGCATTCGGCCAGCACCAGCATATGATGTGTTCGTCATTTTCCTTTCAACAGCTTCTCTCCACTCCCAGCTCCCTCTACATTAGGTAGACCTCTGATGCACCAGCTCTGCCCCACGCTCCGTCCCGGGGTCTCACGGTCTGCGTGCAGCAGTGGACGTGAGGCAGACACACTGACGCGCCAGCTCTGCCCCACACTCCGTCTTGGGGTGCACAGCAGGGTCTCACGGTCTGCGTGCGGTCAGTGGACGTGAGGCAGACACGCTGACGCGCCAGCTCTGCCCCACGCTCCGTCCCGGGGTGCGCAGCAGGGTCTCATGCTCTGCGTGCAGTCAGTGGACGTCTGCCGGCAGAACAGTGGGATCTTCTCCCCATTTCCAAGCTCTTGATGTATCACTGGCACATTGACCAGGTTAAAGGACCAGTGTAAGTCCCAAGCCAGCCCCCAAAGACGTGTCCCCAGTATCATCTACAAGCCAAAAAAAAAAAAAAAACCCACTGCCATTGAGTCAATTCTGACTCATAGCGACCCCCTTTGGGGTTTTACAGAAGTAGATTGTCCAGTCTTCCTTCCATGGAGTGGCTGGTGGGTTTAACTGTCAACCTTATGGTTAGCAGTCAGATGCCTTAGGCACTATGGTACCAGAGCCCCAGTGTCATGTGTTGTTGTTAGGTGCCGCTGAGTCATCTCCAACTCATAGCGACCCTACGCACAGCAGAATGAAACACTGCCCTTCCCGCGCCATCTCCATGATCCTTGCTGTACTTGAGCCCATCGTCACAGCCACTGTGTCAATCTATCTCATTGAGGGCCTTCCCCTCCTTCATTGACCTTCCACCTTACCAAGCATGACATCCTTCTCCAGGGAATGGTCCCTTCTGACAACATGATCAAAGTAGGGTGAGATGAAGTCTGGCCGTTCTCATCTCCAAGGAGCATTCCAGCTGCACTTCCTCCAGGACAGATTTGTTGGTTCTTTCAGCAGCCCATGGTGCTTTCAGCATTCTTCACCAGCACCACAGCTCAAAAGCGTCAACTCTTCTTTGGTCTTCCTTAGTCATTATCCAGCTCTCACATGCATATGAGGTGATTGAAAAATATCATGGCTTGTGTCAGACACACCTTAGTCCTCAAGGAGACATCTTTGCTCATCAGCACTTGAAAGAGGTCCTTTGTAGCTGACTTGTCCAGTGCTGTACATCATCTGAGGTCTTGACTGCTGCTTCCATTGGCATCAATTATAGAACCAAGCAATGTGAAGTCTTTAACAACTTCAATCTTTTCTCCATTTATTGTGATGCTGTTTACAGGTCGAGTTGTGAGGATTTTTGTTTTCTTTGTATTGAATGTAATCCATGCTGCAGACTGTAGTGTTCAGTCTCCATCAGTAAGTGCTTCAGGTCATCCTCACTTCCAGCAAAGTTGTGTCGTCAGCGTATCGCAGGTTGTTAATGATTCTTCCTCCAATTCTGATGCCACGTTCTTCTTCATATAGTCCAGCTTCTCAGACTATTTGCTCAGCATATAGATTGAATAAATATGGGGAAAGGATACAACCCTGGTGCACCCCCTTCTTGATTTTAAACCATGCAGTGTCCTCTTGTTCTGTTCGAACAGCCTCCTGGCCTATGTACAGGTTCCTCATGACTAAATTAACTGTTCTGGAATTTCCATTCTTCTCAATGTTAACCATAATTTGTCCACACAATCAAATGCTTTTGCATAGTCAATAAAACGCAAGTAAACATCTTTCTGGTATTCTTTGCTTTGGGCCAAGATCCATCTGACATCAGCAATGATATCCCTCATTCCATATCCTCTTCTGAAGCCAGCTTACATTTCTGGAAATTCTCTGTCAATATACTGCTGCAATCGTTTTTGTATTATCTTTGGTAAGATTTTACTTGCATGCAATATTAATGATATTAATATTGATAATTTCCACATTCTGTGGGATCACCTTTCTTTGGAATGGGTACAAATATGGATCTCTTCTAGTCAGTTGGCCAGGTAACTGTTTTCTAAATCTTCTGGCATAACTGAGTGACTGCCTCTAGTGCGGCATCCATTTGTTGAAACATCTCAGTGGGAATTCTGTCAATTCCTGAAGCCTTGTTTTTCGCCACTTCCTTCAATGCAGCTTCAACTTCCTTCAATACCATTGGTTCTCGAACATATGCCACCTCCTGAAATGGATGAACATCGACCAATTCCTTTTGGTACAGTGACTCTGTGTATTCCTTCCATCTTCTTTTGATGTTTCCTGCATCATTCAATATTTTGCCCATAGAATCTTTGAATATTGCAACTCAAGGCTTAAATTTTTTCTTCAGTTCTTTCAGCTCCAGAAATCCTGAGCATGTTCTTCCCTTTTGGTTTTCTAATT